GATCTCGAAGGCACCCATCGGCCGGGAACGAAACCGAGCTCGAAGAGCGAACCAAATGGCTGGACCGCTGGATGGCCACCAAGCCGTGGGAGACCGAGAGCCGAGCTTCGACCGACAAGAAAGACCCGATCAAGACAGTCGAGATCGACACCTCCCAGCCCTATTCTCAGTCCACGCCGAGGAACCACCGCAGATCGTTCCATCAGAATCACTACATCCATAGACAGCCGACCCCCAGCCCGACCCCGCATTCCGTTTCTTCACCAGTCCACAGGTCACACTCCCACCACATCAACCCCTCCCTTCACCACTTCCCCATCACCCCCTCCCCCGCCAAGGCCCGGCCCATCCAGGTCCGGTCTGCGAGCCCCCGCTGCTACCGGGAAGACCAGTCGTACTCGGCCGCCAACACCCCAAGCCTGGCCTTCCTGCACCGCAACTCCACGGCAGTTCCAAACTACATGGCCGCCACCGAGTCCGCCAAGGCCAGATCCAGGTCACAGAGCGCGCCAAGGCAGAGGCTGTCCACACCGGAACGAGACCGCACCGGGTCCGCCAAAAAGAGATTGTCATATCCAGCCCCAGACCCGCATGGCGGGTTCGGGATCGGGTATGGGCCGGGCGGGGTCGGCCAGAACTTGAGGAGCCCGAGCTTCAAGAGCGTCTACAGCGGGCATTATACCTACAACTACGGGGGCAAACACAGATCGAACCTGTCATGCTACACGGAGAGCATCGGCGGAGAGATTTCGCCGTGCTCGACGACGGATTTGAGATGGTTTAGGTGAGGGGAATTAGCAAAGACATTGTTCGGTGACACAAGTCTAATGTAGGGATCGATTTGGAGATGATATTTAGTTTGAATTTTCCTTCTGCTGTACTTGTTACATTTTGTTCTTGTTCTCAGTAGGGAATTGAATGGTCGAGGGGGCCTTTTAATGGAATTGGATCGACCAGAGCATTTGTGAGAGTCACGCACAGGACATGCCACTTCATGAATGTACAGCATATCATGGCTTGCGTACCTACTTCAATGCTGATATTATTGCTTCTGCAACTCGTGAAATAAATTGACATTACTGAGACTGAAACTTGTGTCTGGGCAATTCCAGCTAACTGAAAATTGAAATTATGTCTCAGGCAATTCCTGCTTTCATGTAATTTAGAGCTTATACTAATCCGTGGATGTAACACAAACAAATGAAATATTACTATTACCCGCAAGAAAATATCTTTATACAAGAATTTATTTTCAAGATATACGTGATTTCTAAATTTTTTTTTTATTCAACGCGATCTTTGAATCTTTAAAAGTTCACTCAACGAGGTCTCTTCGTTAAAAGTTCTAAAACCATTATCCGGTGTGACTATAATTTTTGATGACTTGACTTTAGATTTGCTATACCAGAATTCAGGTGACTTACGCACAGCTTTCACATTATAACTCTCTTATTATTTCGATTCAAAAAGAAATTGAAAAGCAAAAATGAAAGGAGAATGAGATTTACCGACTATGAGAAATGATGCGGACTGCCGCATCATCATTTTGGCCCCATAAACACTAACGTGGCAGTCTATGTCGGAAAAAAAAGAAGCAAGTAACATGGTGATAAACTTATGGAAGGATTACATTAGGTGGGTTTTTGAAAGTTCCAAGATCAGATTGAATAGACAAAAAAAAAAAAAAGGTTAGAACATTGAGAAAAGGTATCGGCCGATTCTAACCACATGAACAACATTGATAGCGGATACAATAAAGTATCTCTACTATAGTACGGAAAGCTACTGACGACGTGAAACGGATTTCGAGATGTGCAACTTCCAATACTTTGATCAATACATGACTCGATCCTCTTCATTGCAAACGCAGACTCCCACCTATTATTCCACACTTAGATTTTGTTTTTCTCCCTACAGCAATTAGCATACCTAGTGAATTGCTTTTGACCTAAATAAACCTACGAAGCTCACTACATCCGATTGGCACTCGGATTCAAATGCAAGTAAATTACCAAATGCTACCAAGGGGACCACTAATGGGAGAGATTGCACCATACCATGGTTAGACATGGGCCATAAAGATCTACTTTTGCTGCTGAATAAGCTAAACAATTTGATGCTTTGCTTGAAGGAGATACCATGTTTCATTCTGCTAGGCCGACAGGCATATAAAGTAATGTGCTAATTCCTAAACATGGGTATGCAGAAAGATTCTAACCCCATGATTAAGTTAGCACCTTGTCTTTGGTGGGTCTGATGATTAACTTGGAGCCCCACTTGTTTAAATTTAAATTCGACAGCATCAAAGGGGGCAACAGTGCAGTCCCACTAAAAGGCAATGGCCACACCAAATTTTGCCCTTGTCTTTATCTTGCCCGTTACCTAACCCGACTTAATGTACATACTAAAACTCTTGTGGATATGACATGATCACTGTATGGAATTGTGCTCCAGTTCATCATCAGCAGTAATGCCCCCAAAAAAAGGGTCATGTGTCATAGACATGTGTTTAAGATCTAAACGTAGGTGAATAGAGTCAAAAGGGAGTCCTCATCTAAGCTAATACAAGATGAATTGCTTGAGACATAGAGACGCGAGAAAATATTACGTGTGACTGTGGTGCCACGTCACTTATGCAATAGTCTACTTACTGTGCGACACGTGTCCATTATATGTTTTTAATTTTTTTTTCTTTTTCCTTTTTCCTTTTTTTTTTTCCTTTCTTCTTCTTCCTTTCACTCCCCCAAGGATGGCAACAACTTAGGCTGCGTTTGGTCGTCCGGATTTCTAAACAGGATAGGACTGGATAGGATAAGATAAGAAATCCTGGGATTTCTTCATATCCTATCCACTGTTTGGTGGACTACGGATTTAAAGTCGGATAGGATAATTTTTTTTTTTTTGCTATTCACGGGTCCGAAGGAGTCGGTGAAGGAAAAAAAGCCAAGAAATTTTTTTGGTGAAAGCGCACAAGGTGTGGGGATGAAGATGACGGCGAGTGGAGCGTAGGGTTTCTGGAAAAATAGGCATTAGAAATCCTATCCGGGTCTATCCCACCTCCCCCCTCGGATTTTTTTATCCGGTCTATATCCGACCTTATCATATCCTGGACCACCACCAAACACAGGATAGGATAAAACACATCTTATCCTGGCTTTTATCCGGTCGACCAAACGCAGCCTTAGACTCGCGGTCAACTCAACCCCGTGAATCGCCTTCCACCACCACCTCACCGCTGTCTCAGCCCTCCGTCCATCATCGCCTCGTGGCCTTCCACCACCGCAACATCATATCCTCACTTCCGCCCTCAACCGCCGATGAGATCTCTGTTTTCCCCAACCCCTCCCCATAGATCTCCACCATTAAAGCCTTTGCTCTTGGCCAATGGCCCCTCGTTTCCGATCTCCACTAGCCTAGCTGCAGCTCGTCCTCACCGTCGTCAAGCTCGAGCTCGGGCTCGGCCGGCGAACTTGAGCCTCGAATTTTGGATCTAACCTTGAGCAAGGCCTAGATTCGGGATTTAGAGCTTAGCTCGACCTCGAATCTGGGTTGATTTGACGTCGGCCAGGGTAGATAGCGGCCATAGCTGGATTTTTAGGTCAACGGCCATTGTATACAGCTAGTAACGAGTTCTCGTGACAAGGATGTGGTGAAAAAGAGACATGGGGATTGGGGCTATCAAGGGCGTGAGGAGAACTGATGGGAGTTGTCCTGTTAGGTCACTGGGATGAGGCGGAGGCGATTGGAAGAGAGAGAGTAGAGCTAGGGCTTCTCAATTGCAAGTCGGGAAGAATAGAGAGAGAGCATAATCGCGAGTCGAGAGAGAGAGAGAGAGGAGCCTGAAGAGTGAAGAGAGGGGAAAAAGACTTTCAAACAGGTGGGTCCACATTGACACGTATCACATGGTGAGTGGACTAGTGCAAAACCGACGTGGCATCACATATATTTTCTCGAGAGAGCTGCGCTCGCTGTCAATTGAAGTCCTTTTTTTTCTGATTTTGTTGAGCCACTGTACTGTTTGACTTGTCAAAGCATCCATTTGCTTACCACTAGGAATGAGGAAGTTCTAGGATTGTATGTATTACTACATTTTGCCATTTCGTTCCTTGACTAACATATGAACGACGCAAATTTGCACTGCCTAACAAGTTACAACAAGGGAACTTCATCAAACACAAGATATGGCATTTTTCAAGCCCCGCCAACACAAGGATTCTACAGCTAAAGTACTTGGTCAATTTGTCTACAAACTTCACTTCGGATCAGGACCATTCGATTGGGTGTGCTGGGCCCAATCGGGCCAACTTCAGACCTAGAGCAACACTTTCCAAGCCCGCCCACGAAACGAATTATCTATAAAACTATGCGTAGAACCTTCGGCTCGGGCGAGCTAGGTCGGCTCTACAAGAGAGCAAACATGGCCGAGCCCGCCCATTTCCAGTTGCTGGCCCAATGCGCAAATAAATTTGCCGGGTCGGCAGTCATCTCAACCCGCCACCGCGGAAGGCCCATGATCAGGTGCGGTTTTGAAACCTCCACAACATGATTTGTGTTGGATCGCCAGATACATAGTCCCTTTTAGTAACTATGAGTTGATGACGAGGATGTTGGTCGGAAAAACATCCTCAGCCCGAGTTCTTCATCAAAGCCTCATAATCAGCGTCGGATGACATTGTTCCAAGTTGTCGATGAATGTCGACCAACTCTTGTACGGTTTCGATTCCCACTACCCGCCTTATCCCAATCAAACTTACTCCAAGAAGGTCCACAATAGAAGGTACGAATTTGTGCAGAAGCAAAAATATCTTCAAGACTTGCACAAGCTTTTGTCTTTTGTTTGGGCAATTGGCAAGTACCATTCCAACCATACAAAATTCAATTCACGAACTTTACCATCCGGGAAATAACTCAGAATATGGAACCGATTCATGATTAGCAGAAGCAAGTGCACCATGATTTCGCGATAAGTACATCAACTGAGAAACCAATGACAATGAAAATGGACAAAATGAAAATCAGTAAGACAGGAACAATTACAAAGCAACTGGCAGAAAGAGTACTTCCCTTTTAAGATAAAAACACATCAAACAAATTGGATCAGACCATATAAACGAATCGAAAACAAGATTTCTTTTTTGTTGCACTTACTGTTCAATTGTATCATCAACTCAAGAAAAAAGAAAAACCATCCAATTCTACCTGACTTTCATTGGCGAAAAGGATGAAACTATCATTCAGCTTATGAGATTAAGCTCATGCCCTTCATCTTTACTGGGGCTCCTACTGCTAGTGGAGGTGACACCAATGCAACAATTAGGAGACGCCTCGCATGCCACCGCCATTGTCGCGGAACTTGCATTTGCAGTCCCCAGACAAAGTGCCTCGGCCAACGGCCCACCCGGCGTTGTTGAACCCATCCATGACTCGCCGGGGCTTATCATCCAGTGCGGTGGCCTCAGATCCCCCGACTTTTCGTGCTCTCGACCCATTAACCCCACACCCATGTCCGTATTCTTGCTGTCTTCTTCTCCAATCCCGCACATCGTCAAACTGAGGGACGAAATGGGCATCTTCTTGCCTGCAGAAACAGAGGGTGCCCTGTTTGAGCTGTCATCTCTGTGTGGGGTTGACCATGCATCGATGAAATGCCTGGTCTCATGCAGTTCATGGGTACTTCCATAATCAGAGTATGAGCCCAGGGGCATATGAGGCTGCTTTAAATGAAATGGGTCGATTCTGTTGCAGTTGGCATGCATAGGTTGTTGCTGGTGGTGATAGTCTTCCTGGTTGGAGATGGTCTCGCCCTTCATGAACCACTCCAAGCCCCTTCACGAGCGTCAATGCCAACCAAAACGAAAACAACTTTAAAAAAAACTTGCAGAAATTTATGCACAAAACAACAAAAGGAAGACAGGGAAAGATGTGCACAACATTCATTGCCCTCTGCATAAGCACGAGGGACGCAATAAATTTTGAATCGATTAAAAAATGCGGGCTTAGGGTTAGAGTTATAGGGGATTTTCTTTTTTAATTTAAAGAAATTCTTCTTTTTGCTCACCTGGGTTGGTCATAGGCTGAGGCCACCGTGGTGGGGAAAAGTGAAGGCGGGTTTGGTGCCAGGTTGAGGAATTGAGGATTTTGGCACGAATTGAGGGATTGAGAGTTTGTGGTGGTAACATTGCTTTTCTTGATGTTGTTGGTGGTGTTCGTGTAATCAGCTTGTAATTCCACAGGCTTTCTTGAACGGGGACGGTTCTTGTGGGAGTGACGCTCACAGTACTTCTGATGAGGAGCCACATCTCTCGAGCACCTCCATTTCTTTCCATCTGTTCTTCTGCACCTCCACGGCTCTGGATCAGAGCCCCCTGAGGAAACCCAGAAAAAGAAACCATCTTTTTGACAATTTTACAGGGAAAAGAAATGAACTTTGACTTAAGTTTGAGCTGTTAACAGTAAAAGACCGGGTATAAAGAAGAGGCCAAAAAAAAAAAAGTTGAAGAGGACAAAGAGATGTTACTGTTGGACTGGTAAGGAAGAACAGTGGGGGGTGATTTGGTTATGGGCAAGAGGAGTTCAGGAGGCACAGGCGCAGAGGTCATCATGTGCTTGAGTATCATGGTCTGTCTCTCCATCTCTTGCCACTGTGCTGCTGTAAATGGCACTCTCGCATTTGCAGATGCTGCCATTTTTCCTGCAACCGAACAATCCCAATTATTCCAAAGGAAAATCAACAAAAGCTACCGAAAAGTCGTGCCTAGTGTCCAGCCATGTCCTCAATTCCCCTTAAAAAACCATTATTTTTATCTGATGATAAAGAAAAAGATCACTGAGAAGTTTTGATAAGGGGAAGAGGAAAAAGGAAGCAACTTTACCTGAGGAGTTAAAGACAGGAGCAGGAGCAGCAGAAGAAGATGAATCAGAGGCAGAGCCAGACGCAAGCAGTGTGGCTGCCGCTGCTTCTTCATCCACACACGCTAAGTGGTGGTTCCTTGCGCCTGAGAAGATGGACCCGCCAACCCCGCCATAATACTCTCCAGCAGCAGCTCCTCTACCAGAGGATGATGGCGACAGCATGTGTTGCTGGTGATAAGGATGGTGATGGTGGTGATGATGAGGAGGCACGGGCATGGACATCATCATCATCGGGGTCGTTTTTTCACGAGAAAAGTCGTCATCCTTCCTGGGTTGCTGCATCCTCAGACCCAGCCCGACATCGCACTCCTCCTCCGAAGCAGGAACCATCATCATCCCACTGTTGCTGCCGTTTCTCGTACCCATGATTGGTTTCTCCTCTTTTTTTCCCTTCTCCGGGTCTCAGCAAAAAGTCGCCTTTCCCATCCACAAAGAAGAACACCGCCCAGAAGAAGAACGAGGGAGAGAAGAGAGTGGGAAAGTCTTGGAGCTGAAGCTACTTCAATTTCGCCCCACCCTCAGCACAAGAAATCAGGAACAAGGCTTCGACGACACTGAATGTCTAGAGCTTCTTCTCTCTCTCTCTCTCTCTCTCTCTCTCTCTCTCAAAAGAAGATGGTGGTGGTGCTGCGGGTGATGATGATAAGAGGGAGAGGGGAAGGGTGGGGTTTAAGCGGTGCCGCCATTTGGAGCCATGAGTTTTTGGTTTTGCTTCCTCAGCTTCCAACATTCGCACCCCTTTAGGAATACAGACAATCTCCCTCTCCCTCTCTCTCTCTCTCTCTCTGGGGAGAGACGCGCGTATACACGTACACCACTTGCCAACTTTTCGTTGCCGTCAAGTCCTAACACTGTTTACTTTGCTGTCCGAAGAGAAGAAGAAGTCTTCGCACTGTTACAGAAAAGGCCGCACTTTTTTCTCTTCTTATCTCTTCTTCCCCCTCAGACGTGTGATTTGTTCGGGGAGGCAAAAGTACGCTTTGGTTCGACCATTCAGTACAGAAGAGTGATCATTGATCAGCTCATTTCGACAAAAAGTAATTAATTTAAAAAAATATTTTCCTTGTTGACGAAAGCATTTGAAAATAAATTGCTACTGATAATAAAGTATTTATTAATTTCAAGCAATCATTTTTAGATTTTTTTTATAAAAAATTATTCGTTTTCTTCGAAACAAACGAAACATTAAAAATGATAACAACATCGATGGCCTTGATTTTTTTATTTATTTAAAATATACTAATCATGGTGTCGTGGCTGATAAATAGTCATGAAGTGTTGCGTTTTCGCCTAAGTAGTAGTCGCTTGAATACAAAAAAGCCCATAATATCACAAGAACAAAATTTTTCTTCAAAGAAGGAATTTGGAAAATGAGAACTTCTTCGGATTGGTATGCGGCTAATAGAGGGTGGCGGTGCCGTTGCCAGCCACCATCGATGGTGGTCGAACACTCATCAAGAGCAAGCAACGGCAACTGCCCGAATTAGCTGAGATAAAAATAATCCTTTGGGCTAAACTTTTCAGTAGTATATCACATAACTTTGTAACTTGGTTTCATGTACCTTGCTATACTCTATTAGTTTGCAAGGGAAAAGAAAATTTAGGATAAGCTTGTCCATCGATTAGTATTTAGTTTCCACAATTTGATTTCTTAAACTTTTCTTATCTTTAGTTTATCTTTAGTCATGGCCCAGGCATAATTTGTGTAACCCAATTTTACGTGCCTATAATTACTCCATTAATTTACAAAATGGGAAAAGAAAAATTCTGGTTAGTCATTAAATTAGTATTCTTTTCGCAACGTGTTTCTCAAATTTCTTTTTTTTTGTGAAAAGTCGGACTTAATTGGCTAGTCGATCCTACGCACAACAAAACATAATATTTTTCCATTTCGAGTGGTTTGTCTTGGGCATAATCATGCGTAGCCAAGCCTTTACATATTCCCCCTATCCAGATCTATACAAAATAATTCTTTCAGGTGCATTTGACCCAAACAAATCCACACGAGCTTATGGCCTATATGTCCACAATCGGGTCTTTTGTTGAGTATTATCAAAAGTGGTGAGAAAATGACATCACCAGTGTTATAACTTTTGTACATCGCTCACTTAAGTGTCATAACTACTTTTTCAATCACTTGAGTGCCATACCTTTTTTTTCGATCACTTGAGTGCTATATAATTTTTCAATCGATTACTTGCCATAATCTTTTAAAAACGTTCACCACAAGTATCATGCCATCTCAGATTTCTGACATTTGAGCGAACGTTTTTTTAAAATTCGTGGCATTAATATGAACTCTTTTTAAAAAATCATAGCACTTGAGTAATTGAAAGAAAAAAAAAAGATACAACCTTCAAGTGAGCACTATACGAAAATTGTGACATTTATGACGTCCTTCTTCCACCTTGAGCACGGCAAGCCGGACACAAGAACGTTGTTTCAAGGACAAAATATAGTCACGAACAATGTTGTTGATTACGCTAATGTCCACGTCTCTTGAATAACTACTAAGGATGATGAGCAACAAACTCATCGACTCTTGCTCCTCCTTTTAAGAAGTGATTATACACCATATTATAAGCAAAAAAAAATAAAAATAAAAACGAGGATAAATCATTTGGGACTGGGAGCAAAAAGTCAAAAGTGCCCCCCCCCCCCCCCCGATTGCGTCCCCCCAAAAGTCCCAAAGCACAAGCATCCTCTGGGAGAAGAAACACACACACAGAACATACATAACCCCATCAAAATTCGATCATCGCGAACTGCTGACTTTCGTCTCCCGATCAAAGCGTTGCATTTTCGTCACGCCCTTCTTTCATAGCTCCTCGTCGACGGCACCTCCGCCGAGAGGCGTCGCTCCGCCGTCCAGCCACCGCCGTTAAGAAGCGGCAGAGGGAGGGAGGGAGGGAGGGAGGGGAGCGCATCGGAAGCCGCGACGGCTTGCGGGGGGGTGGGGGGCCCACATGGGGTTTCGTGTGCCAAAGGTGGGGGGACCAAAATTTTTTTTTTATTTTTTCCTCGGGGGGATATATATGGGGGGTGGGGGGGTCGCATTTGATGTGATGCACTAACTAGAATTTTGATGGCCCCTAGGGGATTTCCAAATTACATAAGATATTCCTATTTCCGTGACATAATTCGATTCCGATTCGGACCCTCCCCCCCGCCCCTCATTTGCTTTCAATGTTCGGAAATTTTTTTTTATTTTTCGTTTGATGAATTGGCGTGCCGCTTTTGGGGAGAGGAGAGGGGGAGGTGGGGTGTGTGATGTCCCGCACATAGTCGCGCCCCTGTTTTGTTTTGGGGGGGGTGGTGGTGGTGGTACGACGTATTTGTCCATGGACGCGATTGAAAGCAAGTGTGGCGCATTGAATTCGTCCGTCGCATTTTATTTTCTTTGGTTAACCACAATTTTGTAACGAGAATGTCCTGTCTGCAGTTGATGGAATTCTGGGTGTCTGCAATCAAATTGGTAGATTCACGGAGAATGAAAAGCAATTACCGAGCACAACAATGCTAGTCCCGCGGATGACCCTTCATTTTTCACATCCAAAGCGAGGTCGGCTCTCCGGTCCCCGCCCTTCGCCGTCTTGTTCTCCCCCCAGCCACTCTCGGCCTTGCCAGGCGGTCCTAGGGGATATGAGCTCGTCGGGCTTCGACGGGCTGGTTTGTGCCTTATACTCACCACGGCAACTCGTCTCTCCACTCATCTTCCTCTCCCTCGGCACATGTGTCATTTCTCGCTGTGAACTGCCGGTTTCCACACCTTGCCTTCATGGAGAGATCCGCTCACGGCCGCGACTCGATCGCATCCGAACGTCTCTATGCGGCGATGTCATCGCAACGCGAGAGCCATCGATGGCATTGGTTGAGAGGACACGAGTCGGGATGATGCGGTCAAGATATCACATTTGGGGTGGTCGAAGAGGAGAGAGAGTTTTAGGGATAGGCCGATTACATAAGTTCAAGGGGTTTAGTATTGATCTTTGGCAAAATGTAATTTCTGTGAGCCTCGTTGTGGACTTGTCATGTCTTTAAATTGGCCACAGCGTAAACATGTGATAGGAAGAAAGGAAGGATTGCCCCATCACAAGCCCTTTGATGAAGTCTCATGTTGTGCAAGTTGATCAAAAACGATTTCTCTTAGAGCTAAGATTTCCTCGATTTACCAAAGGAGGATTGCTCCCTGAGATCTTCACGTGTCATGCCATTACAGACGGTTCTTAAACATATTTGGTTCTCCTCGAGATGCTCTCAGACGAGAGAATATTATAAATTCACGTAAAATCAAGCCCATCTCAACTGTTGGTCACGTTTTTTTTTCCCTTTATCGGATAATAAATCAAATCCCAAACTTATGTTATCCAGCATCACGAAACATGAGGCAGACCATAATGCTTATAGGTATCACTAATGAAGAGATGGTCATTGACCGGTGCATTTGACTTTCTCTTTGAAATCTTGGTCCCCAGGACAAACCAGAGGATTTGGTCCGTTCTTGGTCTGGCTCATATGCACACAAAGCAGCAATGATCATGGGCACCATGCTTTTGGTCACATGTCAGAGACGCTCCTTTTTTTTTTAACTTTGCTTTTCTTCTCAGTAAGAGGTACGCCGAGGACCACCATCCTTATATGCTTGCGACAAGGAATTGGAGTCCACCCTTTCCATTTGCACTGAAAAATCGACGTCCGGAAATTGTTCATTATCTGCATTATCTGACTAAATAGAGCCCATGGACATCACATGTGAGAGGCAGATCTGATCAATGATTGTGCTGGACTGAACTGGTGGGTATGATTTAAGGGTAGAACCGAGGATTGAAAAACTGGATAACCGGTCCGATTTTAGATTTCAAGGTATGCGGGATAAGTTTTAGATTTAAAAAATTGGGGAACCAGTTCCGATGAGTAGTCTGAAACCCGGAACAAATTTTTTGTGTTTTTCTTATTATATGTCTTCGCGCAATCCTGCGGTATTTTACGGCGAGTGTATAATATGGAACCACCGATATGAATTTCCATTTCGGATGATATTCATGACTGCGACTTTTATTTTGATAATGTTTCATATTTTTCGTGTGTCTATATATGAGTTGTGGTCAGTAGATTGTAGCAGCAAATTGTGATTGTTAGGTCGATGAATTACTGCAATCGTTTAATTACGAATACATGTGGAACTTGGGTAGACCCTACAACTTGTGACATGGAAGGTTTCAGATTCCAAAAATTTGGAAACTGGTTCCGATGGATAGGTTCCGAGTGGAACTTGAACCGACCTCGGAACTTCTCACCCTAGTTTACGGTAGGACCCAACGTATTGAGCTCGGTTTTTTTAGCCAATCTGTAGTCCCAAAACCTAATAAATAAATTTGGTCCGGACCAAACTGAACTGGATCGATCGAGGCCATTTTAGGCCAATGCCTTATACCGCTCTTTCGACCCCTTATTGATTTTTTGAATTTCAAGGTCAAATCGCGTGCTTATGTATGGGACCGCCATGCGATCACAGCTCAAATTATTGTATTATTGACGAAAGCTATCGGTGAAAAATCTCAAATTGCGGTAAAGTGACATGAACAATAAAATTCAAATAACTGCATTGAGATGAATAATTTTGACCATAAGTTGATTAGAGTTTTCATTCAGGCGTTTTTAGTTCATAGTGTTGGTTATCCATCTTTAAAAATAACATCTAAGGCCATTTTGGGCTATTTAGGGCTCTGATGCAGCCCGGTATCCTGACCGGTCCAGAATGGCCTTGGTAGCCCAGCCCGACAAAATCTTGATGTGAAAATAAAAATAAAAATTGTTGCTTCTATATACGACTTTTACTATCCAGAATTTCGAAATAAAAATACAATTATTTTGAATGAACAAATTTATGAAAAGAAATGGTTCCGCTTGTAAACATTTGAAGATATTGAAAAGGTGTTTCGAATTAAATAAAAATCAAAGTGCGAGAGTCGTAATATTTAGAAAAGGTAGAATACGATTCACTCGAAACCGGCCCGGGGCGGTGTTTTTTCCCGACGTGCGGGAATGGCGGAGAGGAGCCGGGGTGTGGAGGAGAAGAGGCGGAGAAAAATAGGGTGTCTACGCGATTTCATTTTGGCTATGGTCTTTCAATCCAGATTAAGAAAGAAAAATTGAAGTGTCTGAAGCAAGAATTCGATGAACAAATCATGAGCAACCTAGTGTGAAGAGAAGCAAACCCGACCATTTCTAGGAGAGATCTCTCAGAGATTGCGGGTAACAATGGCTGCTTTGTTGATAGCACATAGCTGTGCTGGTGAACCAATCTCAATTGAAATACGAGACAGCTTCAAGTTGAGTTCAAATTTTCGCCTGAGTGACAACAAAACCGTGACTGCCCGATGCAAGCACTTTTCACGAATCGTCGGGGCTTTGCAAAGTTGATTAACCGAGGACGCATTACCGAGGTTGATTAGTAGGAAATTTCATCGCCGCCCCGAATCTCTTAAAGTCATTGCAGGGAAGCTATAAGATGTGCAAAGGTTTGTTCTGCCACTTGATTGATTAAGCCAATCTTATGTTTGTGCTTTGATTGATTCCTGATCATCTCTTTTGTTCGAGTCCAATTCTGATGTCACTTGTGGAAGGCTATTAATACTATCCTGTTGTTCCATAGCGGATCGAAACCAGATAAGTAGATTTTCTATTTTCCCTTTTTCATTTTCTTATGATCATGGATTGATTGAGCAGCTATGAGAAGGAGAGTAAAGTAGAATCTCTTCTTGATTATAGCATAGAGATCCTGCAAATTCTCATGGAAACACTCACACCTCTACCCTTCTTTGCACTGACACAACATGTTACTTCAACTCTTCCTAGAAGGCAAAGCAAGGTGGGTTTCATTTCAGTGTCCCTAAGCTGCTTTGCCAGAGAAGAAAGCGAGCGCACCGACAAATGGCGCGTTGATATAAGTGGCGGGTTCGGACTGCTGGTAGTTGTTCCTGTCGTCGGCGAAATGATCGTTGCTGTCCGGGCCTCCAATGATGGCCCCGACGAGCACATTCGGGTTGGGCGACCCTGAGTAAAGATACTGGAACCCATCGCTGCACGAGATGCGGCTAGGGTGTGAGCCCACGGAAGGGAGGGACGATCCCCTGTGGTGCACGTGCAGGGGGTACCTGTCACCAAACCCGACCATGTACGAAGTCCTCGCAGGGTTGTCCCCTAGGATGTAGTCCACTTGCTTCCTGGCCTGTGTGATGAGGGTCTCGGCCGTGACGGTGGTGGTCCCACACGAGACGGCGACGCCGTTTGCACTGAGGTACTTGGCGTAGGTCAGGAGGAGTAAGGAAGTGGATGTGACGTACTGGAGGTTGCTCGCGCTCCCCTTGTAGAGAAGTCCTCCTGAAAGAATTGGACAGTCTTGTGAGTTCTTCTTTGTTTGGTGATCAATTCAATGAATCAAATGAATCCTTATTGTGTTGAAACAGCGTGCAGAGGTGAATGCAGAGTCCGGACTAAAAAAGGTTACGAGATAACAACTACGACATAAGCGATTGCGCTGCAGTATGACAAGAAATAGATTAGGCCAATTAACATTCGAGATTGTTGCTTGAATTATCTATATTTTATGGTAATGACTACTCTGTTATGCCTACCGAAAGCACTTTTCGAAACTATTGTCGATCGAGAGCATATGAACGATGGAGGCGGTTCTCGGCTAACCTGGAGTGTACTGAGCCTGGAAGCCAGACGTTCCGGGGATCAGAGAGCATATGTAGTTGTCCGAATGCGCTTTGTACAGTTGAAATTCTTCCGAGTTCTTCTCCAAAAATCCCTGGAGTTTTTAAAACCAACCAAAGTCGTGAGTAGGCCTATTAGACATCATCTGTGATGCCATAGACCAAGAGACGAGACAGAGTCCAATGAAGAAACCTTAGAGAGGAGGATTTTGGTTCCGGCCCTCTTGTCGTCCCAACTGAATGAGTAGTCGTCGTCGTCGGCACCCAAAGTGTGGCCATTGGACTGTATGTATGCCAAGTATGAGCTGTCCTGTGAAGCTCTATGGATCCATGAAGCACCCCACAGCAACTCATCCTGAACATTGGAAAAAAGGAATGAGTTCAAGAGTTCAAATCGACTCTATAATTTCGGACAGAGCCAGGAGGAGATTTTTCAGAGAGGCTTACCTGGTATCCTGAATAAGAGCAATAAAATGGGCAGACAACTGAATTGAGAGAGTCGCTGTAGGAACCTCTGTACTTGTCCGCAAAGTCGAAAACCTGCGCGAAAATGGGAGGCGGTAGGTTTGGGTGAGTCCCATAAAGTGCAAACTAAAGGGCAAAAATTTTAGTACGCGTGAGCATTTGTTTTTACCTTCATAGCGGTTTGAAGCAATCTGCTCGAATAAGAGGGGTCGGAATCTTTGAACACTATTGAAGACGCAGCTAGAGCCGCGGCCGTTTCAGCTGCCACGTCGGATCCTGGGTTTTGAGTTGACACCTTGTAGACGGTCCGTGCAGTGTCCATGTCTTCCGGCCTCTCCCAGCACTTGTGGTCATTGTTAGCATCTCCAACCTGAACCACACAGAACCTTCATGCTTTGTAATTATCTTCATTTAACGTTAGACACGGTATCTCTCGAAGCCAACATTCGCTCAGCACAAATTTACCTCTCCGTTCGGTCAAAGACAAGCCGTTCATGTCGAAACTGCGGTATTTTTAGATTCTACTGAAGTAAGACATATATGATGACCATGCATGGGAACTTCTGTCTCACTATATACGCTCCCACATAATTGCTTTTGTCTCCTTTTCATTTAGAAGCAACAAAACAAACTCACTTTGGATCTGAATTTTCACCCCAACAATCCAATCCTGTTTTTAGCTTCTTCTTTTTTGTCAACTGTAGTTGGAATTTGGTAACTGAAGTTTTGATGCATGTTAATGTATGAAGAGAAAAAGGGAAAAACTAGCTCACTTGGACATATAAGGTTCCTGGAGTAGCAGTTGCTGCTTTCAACAGATAATCGGCACTCCAACGTACTGCGGCTCGGGCGTTCTCGATCTGGCTCGGCATCGAACTGCCAAACTCTATCACGCTCCAAGCGAGCAAGGTGGTGGTGAAGGCCATCGGAAGTCCAAACTTGACGTTGTCTCCAGCATCATAGTACCCTCCTACCAAGTCCACCTGAAAGCCAGAGACAAAAAAAAAAAAACCATAATCATTTCGTGACCGAAAAGCCTCAATCAAAGTGTCACGAATCACAAGAAAGCATCAGATAGTCTCTCAGACATGATATGACGAGCCGTCGGACAATCCGGAGTTGCCCCTCCACGTGAGCCGCTGGGTCGGCGGCAGTTTCCCCGACCGCTGCCCCTCGAAGAAGAGGATCGACTTCTCGAGAGCTTCGGAGTAGTCTTTGGTGGTGAATGCATAGCAAGAGATGCACAGTAATGAGAGCAGAGCTAGGCGCAGTAGTTGCACCAATAGAGAGGCTCTAGTAAAAGAAGCCATTCCCACAACCTTCAAGGCTTTCAAGACTACAAAAAAGGGGTTGTTTTCTTTTTTTGTTTTTGACTATGTTATTGAGGAAGCAGCCCTACAATAACGAGGTTGTGGGGGTATGTGGAAGTTGGAAAGTGGCGATGTAGAGGAGGAGGTAGAGAGGTGGTATTTATAACATCAGAGGTGCTTTATCATATGATTTTTTTTTGCTCGGAAATGTTTGTATTATCCTAGAAAAGTGGGAAAAAAACAGACTTTGAGTTCGTTGGTCGTTGAGGGGAGAGAGGAAGGTGGTTATTCACGGGATCAACTGCGCCAAATCGGATGTTATGTAGTGGGGACAACCAGCACATGTTCCATCCAAATTGTAGGAAAGTTTGCATCCCACGACTTGCCAAGGACAAAAAAAACAAAGAAAAGAACCAAAGACAAAGACAGAATCTGTGTGCTGAGAGCTTTTCACTGTTCTTGGTCGTGCTTTCCGCCCCTAATTCCCCAAGTTTTACTGTTGATTAACGTACAAAAGTCTTCGATCGGCGTGGATTATGAAGGAAAAGATGGGGATTGGGCGCGCCAGTGTTACTTTGGATATGGCATGATTCCAGGAGTTATGTTCGCGTTTCTCTTTGGTCCGAATTCTAACTTGTCATTTAGCAGACGAAGTCACGGACGGCATGGACGTGACTGGATGAGTCCACATGGTGCCGCCTAACTCAGACCCGAAAGTTCCGGTCACTGAATTAACGGCACCAACGTCCGCCCACAAAGGGAAGATTTCAGCATGAAAGCGTGGTCATGTGTTCACGTTGTCTAGCCACTGTGGATAGACTTTGGTCGTCGAAGGGCGGCGAATCGTTCGGCCCCGCCCTAGGCCTTGAGGCTCGAAGGTAAAATGTGTGGGCCCGAGCATGTCTAGTCTCGCTTGCCCCAAACCAGATTGATTAGATTTTGTACTTGAGTAAGGATATTTGATTTGATCCATCTAGACCCACTTATTGGCCAAGTCTAACATGAGAGGCCTCCTTTGCAAAAACCATGTAATTACAACGAGACTAGAGTAGTCTGGCGGGCCAAAGCGCTTAACCGGATTTTGTGAAATGACAAGCATTTCGTGATGATCTTAATTGGGTGTTCGCTTAACAAGGTTGTATTAGCCCACATTGTTTGGTAGAACTTCCCCTATTCGATGTGTAATTCGACTCATTCTTGTCTCTCCGTCATCCTAGAAACTTGCTAAAAGTCATACTCTATCGCACTCTTATTGTCTCGATGATCACATCCTAACCTCATAAGATTAGGTATGGATCTAACCCATCGACAAATTATATATCTACTCATCTCTAACGATGTCAACCTCTCAAAAGCAGTACTTGAAATAACCACGCAAAGAATGACCATTTGAGACTAATCTTATTTATGAATCACTTGACGGGTATTTTGGAAGGCAATAGTCGAAAAGATCCTTGCTATCATAAAATAAATATTTATGTTGTCATGAATCCTTGCAACCGAGGAGAAGGGGTGGATGCTCCAAGAAGTCTTCATAAGTCATGACTAGCGTCACGAAAGGAAACACTCGTCACAAGATGCTCTCTCTCTCTCTCTCTCTCTTCCTCCTGTGAAGTCTTTAGAGCACTTGAATCAATGCTGCAATCTTTGTATTTTGTGGTGGACAACACAACGTAGCTACTGAAACTAGGTGCTCTGGACACTGACGGTAGAAAAAACAGAAAAAGAAGACTGACTAGAGGCTATTGGTTCAAATCAAGTTCGCTTAGAATTAGGATGTGAACAGCACGTGAACCCTGACCTTGTTGTGCATATAATACCATAAAAGTCCGACTTAAAAGACGGTTTTGTGAGTTATAGAATGTCTTCTACACTATGCATCATGTGACTAGGGAGTTCATAAAGGCTCACTGAAGCTTCACATGAAAAGTGGACAATTCCTTGCAATAGACCGGCAGAAATAAATACCCGATAGCAATCCTTTTGGAAGTATATAGTGTGTACTAGAGACCAAAAGAGAGACAATTCTCGGGACCGTGATTAAGCGAGCGAGCTAGCTCACGCGCCACGGTGGTTTGCAATATTCCATTGTCCCGTCAACAGTCGAGTAGAGGTCTCGTGATGTTCTTAAGCCAAAAATGATATTGTAGTTTGGAGTCATTTGAGTAATTGTCATGGATATGGTATCAGAGCGTCATTCAACTTTCAGCGACGTGCAATTCTTCAATAAACAATTTCGCTTGCTTCTGAGAACTGAGAAATCTCCTAAGTGTCGAAAGAGACTGTGTCAGCTAGCTTTGGTGATCACATGTTGCTACTTGCACAGCCTGTGAGCGAGAGATCAAGACAAGAAGATGAATTGGAGCTTGCACAGCCCATGGTAGCTTTTCAAAGTCCAGAAGAGCCATTAAACATGACCTGCCGAATCCCAGTTGCCAAAACTTTAACAATAAACAAGAAATGAAGAGGAATGGCGTCCATTTTTCGGCCATGAGAATAGCAAGGCTGGCCAAATTCCAGCATTTATTGATGGTTGGATTTTCTGCATCGCATTGTTTGGGCGCCTGCAGTATCTCACCAAGAATCCTTTTGATCATGATGAAACAATCGAAGGAGGAAAGCTTTCGGCTCACAGTTATGATGACTCGACATTTTCTTGTTTGCTTCTTTTCCGAGCCTTAACTACATATTCGATGATTTAGGCAACGGCATGCCTTGGAAGAGAGAACTCCCGGCCATTTCATTTGGAAGGGACTCAGATCAACGTTCGAAATTCAACTTACAGGGCGGCATGAGGAAAAGGTTATTCCCATAGAAAATGCCGAGCACACACAACATCACTAGTCATCAGCACTTAAAATACTCCCATGAATGAACTCAATCGGCTTGTAACTAGTCACTAAGGAAAAAGTGGTTCCCATAAAAAATGCCGAGCTCGAATAAAATGACTAGTTATCTGCACATAAGTTTCTCCTATAAATGAACTCAATCGGCTTGTTTCCGGTCAGTAAAACTATCTTCTGATCCTTCGATTGCACCAAACATCAGAACTTATACTACAAAATCTTATGGAGGCAGAATATGAAGTGGAAATACTCCTAATAGGCACAATTTGTCGACCTGGTAAGCCGATCAGGCTGCACATGAACCAAGATGCATGATTTATGTAGGTAAAAGCACCGAAGTTTCTGAAGTAATCTCACGTCTAAGCCTATTACCTACTCTTTCTAGCTCATCAGTTATTCGAATCACCTGAACCTCAATGTAATCGATTCATTGAGCTTGTGAAGAGAAAATCATCATATTGCATAACTCCTGTCGGGCACCATTTATGACACTTACTACATATTCTAAATGTACATTGAGTGGTACATGGATATGTTTCCTTGAGAATGTACATCTCAGGTTCAGGATTTAATTATACAGACAAATGGTAGACCTAGCAATACCTTCCTCGTATATTTCCAAGATAAATGACAACAAATGTGTAATCCGCATCTCTTTCTTCCGAATCAAGACATAGTTGATAACTGGTATAAAAATGGTTTGGCATGTTTAACCCTATAATCTGTGGATATGATGGACTGCAATGGATGATTGAATCTGCTGTATAAATAAATAAAGCTCACGAGATCTTTATCAAGCTTGCAGTTTCGTACAGATGCTAGCGCTAGGATTTGAGATTGAGCCTGAGGGAAATGTAAGTGTTAGAAACAAAGAAAAAGCTTGCGGGCTACGCAAGGAAAACTTATATTACTTACAAATATCTGCAAAACAAGGCTGATTAGACACAGGATCCTCTTCAAATGGCGGTGGAGCTTGACCATACACCATTTCACAGCTCATATCTTCAAAATCTGGGCAACAAAAACAGAATCGGAAGATGCTTAAAGCAGTTCCACATATGACCCAAAAGATAGATACTTCATGCTGATAGGCCGTAATGCATTTAGTCACAGAAAATATGGCGTCTACATATCGATCGAAAAGTTTGGATATGAGAGGATACTTGGAATCATGGTGAGGGGTAGCCCGAATTCATTGGTGAAGAAATCCTGAGTGGGTATCTTGCACATGTTTACACACATCCCTACACAACCGCTATTCTCCAAGTACCTAAAATAGAAAAATCAAGTGGTAAATTGCAAATAGAAGACTAGCTGAAAGTTGTCAAAGACAAAAACAAGAATAGTAAGACAAGTAAATATTAAAGAGAGCCTTGCCGTGTTGCTTTCCCATTCAAAGAATAGCATTTATAAGCAAGAAGATAAAGACTGGAAGTTCTGCCTCAGTCTGAAAATTGGACAATCTCATTGCAAGAAATTAGATGCTGGTGCAATTTGAGACTTATTTGCTCTGCACCTTATTTCATAAAAATTTTGAATCTCCTAAAGATCTGATCTAAGAAGATAGATGCTGGTGCAATTTGAGACTTATTTGCTCTGCACCTTATTTCATAAAAATTTTGAATCTCCTAAAGATCTGATCTAAGAAGATCGCCAACTATTGCAACAATGTTGCCACTAAGATAGATTGGGGGGGGGGGGAGGTGGGGGTTAGAGATTTTACCTGCACTTTTTAATGTGCACTCCACTTTTTTGCTTCACTCCATTTACTTCTACCTCCACAACCTACTGGAAGCTCATGAGTTAGAGTTTGTATCGAATAATCGGCCCTACCAAATATAGACATCATCAGGAAGTAATCAAAGTGGAGAAGTCCGTGATGCTTGATCATTGACATCGGCGGCAGCATGAGGTCATAAAAAAACCAACTAAAACATTTCAGGAGCAGTGACATAAAGAACTTGGATGCAGAAATTTCCGGACCTTATGCTCTTGCTAGGAACTGTTTCTAAAATCCAGAGTACTCCTTTGTCAAGCTGTTCTTAGGTCACACAGTTTATGAATTTGCTATGCAGAAAGATCCTATTCCTGAATATACTAAAATATCATCCTCAGTCATTTACTCATTGTCCGTGCTGCAACCTCTAAGCTTTGAGGAACGCATTCAAGACCTAGTTTTGAAACCCAAACCCACATCAAAAGAAACATTTCTTCATTTCAGCCTTGAAAACTCGGGCAAAAAGCTATACAGTCTCTGGTCCCTTTCTTTCTACGTGCATCCACTACTGAGGAGAAACTCACTACTCAGGTTTGTAGGTTTATGCCGTCTTAACAGAGTGCCAACTGTACTAAACAATTTTTTAGTTGCAAATCATGTGTCGCCGGCATCTACATCAGAGTGGTCCATAAACAGCCCAACTCTTCGTCGAAAACTAGATTTTCTAAGTCACAACTTCCGAAGCACGCGAACGTTTTAAAACTCCCGTTTTCATCTATAGAGAACAGTTCCAAACAGCAATTCTATAGGACTTCTTCCAGGATATCCTCTGCTTTTGAACCAAATAGCCAGAGAAAAAGTACCAGCGATTGGTGTAAATTTGCAAAAATTTACCTCGGAAGGCCCAACCAACCAGTGGAAGAAAGGCACGGTTAGTGCAGCATTGAACTCAGCAGCCCACTTTGTTGGCGGAAACAGCTTCCTAAACTGCACCGACAATCAATAAATCACCAGTTCACTGCTTCAGCTCCATGCTTTACAACTATAACAGGGTTTCGTTAAAGATAGGCACTTGACGATGCAAGGAAAATTCATAAATTTTGATAGACTCGCCGTTATTAAGTGATAAGTACAACCGATATTCTGAGAATTGAACATGATTCATCGTGAAAACTCAGACTTTGCAGTATCACCATCACACTGAACCCTCAAAACATACTGGGTATTCTCAAACTAATGAAATTCTCGATTAAAAAGAAATAAAGAAAGGACTTACCCACCTGAGCAGGCGCACCGGGAGGAAGCATCGACATGAGCACTTCTCGGACCACTTCCTGTTGCTGAGCCCGAGACCTCCCCTGCATTACCCTCTTCGACACGTCCACGAAGCTCTCGTAGTCGTACTCGAGCCACCCTTTCGGCCTCTCGCCACTGCCGCCGCCTCCTCCTCGGGCCCTCGCCGGCGACGCCGCGAACTTCTCCATCTTGCGTGCGAACAGGGTCATGAACGCCTTCTCGAAGAACCCGTCCCTGTACTTCGTCTTCTGCCCCATCGGAGCCGGCTCCCCCGATGGCTCCGCGATTCCGCACCTCACCACGGCTTTCCGCCGAGGAGGGCGGAGGCGGCCGGGCGGTGGCGGGCAGTGGAGGAGCTGAGAGCTGCTGTGAGCGAGAGCCACCATGAATTGATGCGAAAATGGCAAGAGAACAGAGCTTTTTCGTCCTCTGTTTCGTTCGTTTCAAAGAATCATTAGCAATGAATCACAGCACGTAAATGCACGAATGCAATGCAGAAACAACTTCTTTTCGTTTGGCTGGTGGAGCTTGCTTGGTTTTTCATAGGAAAGCTAGCAGCCATACAAAATCCCAGACTTTTTTCCATCCATATCTTCGACAAAAAATAACAAAAGTGAAATCCAGGCATGCTTAGATCTTTATCCTCTGGCTTTTTTTTTAGTTTTTTTTTGCTCCTTCAACGAAATGCATTTCTTTTCCTTCCATCTTTTGAAGTTAGTGATTTAGATGAAAATTGATTTGTGCCCCGCAATTGATTTGCACAGTTGAGGTGGGAAGCTGCGCCACGCGAACAGGGGAAGGATCAGCCAGAGAAATGGGGCTCATGGGTCCATGGCCTCATCTCATCCTCTCGCCTTAATGTTAAAGGTTGTAATCATAACCCAGCATATGAAAAAACTCTGCAGTCAAAAGCTTAGTAGAGATAATTGTTTTTGCAAATACTTCGGAGATAAGGGGACCAAAAAAAGGGATACAACTCATAGGAAAGCGAGATGTAATTAATTGTAGGATCCATAGTATTCACGGAATAATTTCGCGTGTCAACATATCAAATGAAATACAGATTGATGTAACGACGATACTATGCGAATAAATATATTATTTTTTAATTTTCTCGATGTATGATAGCAATTTTATGAAACTGTAGTGCAACTGCCAACTAGGCCAGCATTTCTCCAATTTAGAGTTCTTCAACCATCGAAAGATAGAAATGTTTCAAAAGAAGTGAATCAGAGCACTTTATCAGAAACTGCTGCATTGTTTTCCTTCCAGAGAAAATGCTTCGACATATGAATTATTACAGTCTGAATCACATCCTTCTTAGCATGTTCACATATATAACGTCGCACTCCATCTTAAGCTCCCTAAACTAGCTGGGGAAATGATAGGTGTACAGCTGACGAATGTTGATGGGGGTAGCTTCTCGTTTGATCTCCATCCAGCAATTCCTGAGCAACAACTGCATTGGCGGCTTCTGTGGGCCGATAAGCATCCCAGAACATGTACTTGGATCGATCGTCGCACATCACCGAGGTCGCGTTGTAACAATCGAACGGCGGAAAGAATCCCCCACGACACAGGGCATCAGCATTCTCGAATCCTGAAAACATTTGGGAGGGTGAATTAGAAAGAAAAGTACACATACGAATATGGTACGAAAAAATTGGTACGATTACCATGTCGCCGATAGTTTAGCACAATTTCCATTAATATGTCGTATGAATTCACGTATACGAATATGGCTTCACGACTTCCTTCTCGATTCAGCTCGTCAAGCAGCTCCTTGAGCTTCTTGTTGTAGCCCTGAATAAACTGATTCACTTGTATGACACAGCTTCCGCCGGGAAGAAACAGATTGAGGGCGCGGACGAAGGGTATGCACCCCACCAGGCCGATCCCAACCAGGACAAGTTTTCTAGCCCCCATGTCACGCAGCCTCTTAGTGCCCAGATACGAAATGAATTATATCTTCATTACAATGACATTGTGAAAGAATGCACTAGCTTGATGTGAGCATTTGTGACCAAGAATGTTACCTTGAGCTGCAATGTCAAATTGGAGATCATGAAAACTTTGGTACTGTTGAAAAGAACAAGCGGCAAGTATGGTTCATAACCTCTAAAGAGAGCAAAAGTAGAAGAGGACACACAAAAAATTGCTGCTGAAAAACTCTCGTACATATAATTCAACAGATCACAAGCCTATTAAAATAGGCATAACATCGAAAACTACTCAGCAAGAAAATAACAACAGGATCACAATAACAAAGACCCACTAACATATCCCACTAACTAAAACGTGTAGAAACAAACCCTTACAAACTAGGACTCCACTACTACATTATTGAAAACATGTAAAACTGAAATTTGACCACTTCAACACTACTTCACCTGCTGGTGTTGTGTTTATTCAATACTCCCCCTCAACACCAGCTTCTACTCTTTTCACCATATTGAGCTAATGACAGAAACTTTCTAACTTGTTGCTACTCAAGCTTTTTGTAAACAAATCTGCAACTTGGTTTATTGTTTTGACATGCTCCAACTCAATTCCTTCTTGCAAGACTTTCTCTCTGATAAAATGATGATGCACCTCCACATGCTTAGTTCTTGCGTGAAAAACTGGATTCTCCGCCAAACGTATTGCCGACAAGTTGTCGCAGTACAAAGAGACACCATACTCTGTTGGTTGATGCAAGTCTTTCAATAATTGCATAAGCCAAGTGCTTTCTTGAGCTGCCATCGCTGCTGCTCGGTATTCTGCTTCCGTGGTTGACAAAGACACCGTTGGTTGTCTTTTACTACACCAAGAAATTGCTCCGGACCCAAGCATGAAGACATACCGGTAGTTGAACGCGGAATCATGGTCACCCATAGTCGGCATCACAGGTAGCCAACTAGTCCGCAATCTCCACCTTTCTTGTACATAATACCATAGCCAAGCGTGCTCTTCACATATCTCAAGATTCGACGACTGATTCCAAATGAGTCTTCTTTGGATTTTGCATGTAGCGACTCATCACACCAACCAAAAGAAACATCCGGTCTTGTTAAAGTTAAGTAGATAAGACTACCCACCAACTGCCGATACATGGTAGCATCTTCTAAATCTTTCCCTTCATGAGCACACATTTTGGCGTTTGGCTCCATCGGTTTCGAGATTGGCTTGCATCTACGCATTGCAAATTTCTTCAACAAATCTTTGGAATACTTTTGCTGATGGAGAAATATTCCTTCACGAGTATAGTCGACCTCTAAACCAAGAAAATGTTTGAGCTGTCCAAGTTCTTTCATCTGAAACGAACCGACAAATTCTCCTTGGTTTGGAGAATTTCTTCTTCCCAATCTCCGTGATGATTAAATCATCTGCATACACCAGCAAAATAGTTAGCTTCCCTCCTTTAGCTTTGACAAACAAGCTAGAATCCGCGAGATGTCACCGAATAACCACTATGAGTAAGAAATTCAGCAATCGACCATACCAAGCCCTCGGTGCTTGTTTTAGCCCATAGAGAGCCTTCCGAGCTTACACACATACTCGGGATGGTCTTGATTCCGAAAGCCCATTGGTTGGCTCATGTAGATCTCCCGATCTAGCTCCCCATGCAAAAATGCATTTTCACGTCCATTTGCCACAAGTTCCAACTTTTGCTTGCTGCAAGTACCAGTAGGACTTGTACAGGTTGTAAACTTCGCATACCGGACTAAACGTTTCATCATGGTCTAGTCCATATTGTTGAGAGAACCCTCGAGCTACCAGACGAGCTTTGTGCCTCTCTATTGATCCATCTGTGCGGCGCTTTATCTTGTACACCCATTTGCAAGAAATAGGCTTCACATCTCTTGGCTTTGGTATGAGCTCCCAAGTCTCGATTTTGCTCTAATGCGGCAATTTCCTCTTCCATAGCATTAATCCATTCCGAACTCGAGACGCTTCCTCAAATGTCTCGGGCTCTTTTACATCGACTCTTCTACTATGGCGGCATTAGCATACTTAGGATTTGGCTTTCGGGCTCTTGTTGACCTTCTAAGTGCAGTTGGTGTACTTGCTCCACTTGGCTCATCTTCTTCGCTTGGCCTTTGGTATACACCTGTTTGCCAAGGATTTTGAGCTATGCCTTCTTCAACATCTACATCGTCGTCGCAACCTCTGTTTCACTTGAACTCAACTCGGAATTGAGAAATTTCTAACATTTCTTTAAAAACATCCGAGTCCGGTAGTACTTCCTTGTTCGAGGACCACCATGAGGAAGCTTCATCAAACACCACATTCCGAGATGTGTAGCATTTCCCGGTTGTTGGATCGCAACATCGCCACCCTTTTCTTTGACTGTCGTATCCTACAAAGATACACCTAACACCTTTTCTCCATCTTGCTACGTACTGGTCGGTACAAATACATAGCACATGCATCCAAAAACTCGAAAATGACCAACAGCAGGCTTCATGTTCCATATTTTTCAAAAGGTGAACGAAAGCATAACCTTTGTTGAGGAAGCCTATTGGTCACGAAGGCCCAGTCTTCATCGCTTCCGCCCAAAACCGTCCCTGAACATTCTTTGAATGAAGCATACTTCGACATACTTCGCCGGATGCCCGTTTTTCCTTTCGGCACCCGTTTTGTTGCGGAGTGCTAGCACATGTGAACTGATGGCGTATTCGCACTCTGAAGGAAATGCGTGAACTCATTTGAGATGTACTCTCCCCATTGTCGGTGCGTAGACAACCGACTCTTTTACCAACCTCCGCTTCCGCTACCTTCTTGAACTCGTGAATTTTGAAAGAGTTTCGATTTTTCCTTCATAAAGTAAACCCACACGTACCTCGAGAAGTCGTCAATGAAGGTCACCATATACTTCATCCCACCAACGGAGGCTTGCTTAATTGGTCCAAACACATCGAGTGTATCAACTCTAATGGTTCCTTCGCTTTAAATTTGGACTCTTCATACGGCAACGGTGCGCTTTTCCATGCGACGGCACCTTGCACATACGGTGTCTGTTCTCACTTCAAGTTGTGGAAGTCCCTTCAACATCGACTTCTTCATCATCACATCTAGCTTGGAATAGCTAACGTGACTTAGCCGCATGTGCCATAAGTTTGCCGTCTCATTCCTTCTCGTCTTGTCTACATATGCGGTTTCCGCAGACATCACGTAAACAGAGACTCCATTCATCGTCCCTTCATTACCGGCTCTTACGTAATCTCAAGGTCTCGATATATCTTCACATCTTGTGGACCAAACAGAACAAAATGGCTAGAAGATGTTAATTGTGCTATCGAGAGAAGATTTTTTCTCATACCTGGAACATGATAGACGTTTTGGAGTGGCACCTCGGCATCGCTACATTGGGGAGAGACGGCCGTATTACCGATGTGGGCTATCGATAACTTTGAGTTATTCGCCGTCACCACCACCCGACTTCCCTTGTACTTTGACAAGTTCTGCAACTTTTCTTTATCACCGATCATATGGTTTGAGTAGCCCGAGTCAACGATCCAATCATTCTCATAATCGATTTGATTGAATATTGTTGCTGTAAGGGCTAGCTCCTCCTTATCTACAGCAAAGAAAGCCTCAAGATCCCATTCGTCTTCGTTTTTGAAGTAGCAGCGTTACTCTCGATGGCCTTCTTTTTTGACCAGCAATCTTTCGCCATATGACCTTTCTTATTGCGGTTGTAGCACTTCCCTTCAAACTTTTGGCCATTGCCATGGTTCTTAGAACCTTTCCATGCACGAACGCTCCCTTCATCTTGATGACTTCTCGCCTTGTCATCGTTCTTTTGGATCCACCGTAGGCATGCCTCTTGGAATTCCACTTGCCTTTGTTGGCATAGAGTGCCTCTTCTTCATTCTTCAACGAGACTCCTCCCATTTGCTTAGCTAATGCTTCTTGACCAGCTAGCAAATTTTCGAATTCGACAAGTGACTGTTGAGTTTGCCATCCTTGTGTGGCAGCAACAAAACTCCTGAATTCTGGCCTCAAACCATGGATGATGATTCGCTTCATCTGGTATCGCATGTCAGAGCCTCGGATCCAATTCGGTAATCTCTCGGCATAACGTCTTCACTTTGTGGAAGTGCGAGCGACCGTCATGTCGCGTTGCGCCATCGACAACAACTCACTTTCTAAGAGTTGGAGCTTCGTATCGTTCTTCTTAGAGAATAGCTTAGCAAACGTATCCCAAGCTTCTTTGGGAGTTTCCGCATCTCGGATATGCTCCAGCACATCCTCTTCAACTGTCGTCTTCAAAATGAACATGGCTTTGCCCGCTTTAATCTTCCACTTCCGCAATGTCCCATTCGCATCTTCAGCCTCCGGTTGTCTCACATCGTTTCCATTGACAACCTCCCACAAATCTTGGCCCTGCATATAAGACATCATGCAGGTAGACCAAGAATTGTAATTTTTGTTGCTGACCTTCTTGATTCCGCCAACGACTTGCAGATCACCCATCTTGGCAATAGAGATGCTCACAAAATACCTAGAACCTGGCTCTGATACCAGATTGTTGAAAAAGAACAAGCGGCAAGTATGGTTCAATAACCTCTAAAGAGAGCAAAGAGTAGAAGAGGACACACACAAAAAATTGTTGCTGAAAAACTCTCGTACATATAATTCAACAGATCACAAGCCTATTAAAATAGACATAACATCGAAAACTACTCAGCAAGAAAATAACAACAGGATAACAATAACAAAGACCCACTAACATATCCCACTAACTAAAACGTGTAGAAACAAACCCCTACAAACTAGGACTCCACTACTACATTATTGAAAACATGTAAAACTAAAATTTGACCACTTCAACACTACTTCACGTGCTGGTGTTGTGTTTATTCAATAGGTACATTGTGGGGAGCAACTTCTGGGCAGAGAGATATGGTACGGACGGTAAGATGTAGTTTATGATGTCATTAGACCCAATTGTGAGTGAATAAACTGAACTCTTAAGGATGTAGTTTACGATGTCAAATTGAGAGCTCCGTGACCAGATGCCCTGAATGGTAAATTTACCAGCACTACCGGGTGGTAATTAAAATGGGTGTTTTCAACGGAGTGAAAACTTTTTTCAATTCACGGAATCTCAATCCTGAACTAAACAAAACCCATATTACATTGATTTCGAAAGTTCAAAACCCGGAATGACTGGATCAATTTCACCCTATAAATTTATGCAATTTTGCTTTCAAAATAATTTCGAAGGTGATGGCAAATAGATTGAGACCATTGCTCCCTGATCTTATAGAAGTCGAACAAATTTTGTGGGAGGGAGCAAATCCAAGATAACATTCTCATCGTGCAAGAAATGCTACACCAGTAGAGGGTGAGAAAGAGACCAGTGAGAGAAAGAGAAAATGGAAATTCCAGGCTGTGCTGAAATTGGATATGAAAAAAGCCTACGATAAAGTTGAATGGGACTTTTTGGACGCGTGTTTGCGAAGGTTGAGTTTCTGTGATAAGTGGGTGGATAGAGTGATGAAATGTGTTAAGACCGTCTCTTTCAGTGTTTGTGGGAAGCCATTGCACTTATTTTGGAGGCCCGCGACTTACTGGGCAGACTTCCTAACGCCACCGTAGCCCATGTGGGGAGAAGTGCTAATCAAGCTGCAGACTGGGTGGCTAAAGCCCAGAGACAGAATGCCGTTTCCTCAAATGGGGTTGCCAGTCTTCCTTAAGACCTTTGAAATTTACTTTGTCTTGATATCCCTTTGACGGGCTCTCTTGTTTAAGTACTCCTTTATCCAATAAAATTAGTTCTTCCGACCATAAAAGAAAAAAGGAAGTCATTCGTTTCTCCCTTACATGCATATATAAACTAGAGATGAAGGCTAGGATACTAGAACTTTGTACCAGGGGCCCTCCATTTTTAGTGGTTAAGATTCATTCTGGCACTTACACTATATTCATGCAATAATTTCTCTTATATCCGAGCTACAACTATGATATGGTGAATTCCTAATGATATGGAGGCAAGTGGACGGCGTGCTTTTTATATTTGATTCAGTTGAATCTGTAGCAACTTCAGTCCACCTCACTTGGTAAATCCATCTGATTGAAACGACTGTAATATTGTAGTACTATCTAAAACTAACAAGGGATAACAAACAAAATATCCAAAGTCAAATCAGTTAATCTAAAAGAGAAAAAAAGAAAGATATATCACCAAGAAGATAGAATTCGGAGCAATCAAACAGAACCAAAGTATAGTCAAGTTTAGACAAAATCATGCAATAACACAATGCATTACAGCAGGAAATTTCATTTGGATTCCAATAACACAAGGACTATGTTGCTCTGTTGATTAGAATAGAAATGGGACTTACGAACAAGGATCCTGTTTCGTCCAAGATTCCTAATGCTCCGGAAGCATAGTTTATACCCCTACTCGTGGCATGTTCTCGACTATTTGGGGCCAAGAATGGTGGAGGAAATGACTCTTCCCTAAGAGCTGGACCTAAATTTCAATCAAGTGAGGACCCTTAGTAGCATGTACCTAATCCATGTTGCGGCTTGGAGTAAAAGGAATTTAAACATGTTTATCAGGGCAAGAATGTACCGACTATGTCTGCAATGGATCGGCCATCGGTGAACCTTCCCGTGGGTTGACCACCAGAGGGCTTGAAGTCGATGCCATAAGGAGTCGAATCGGCCGTGGAGAGCGTCAAAAGATAGTCGTTATCTCCAGAATCCATGAGCGAGTCCCTGAACACATAGGAAAATGAAGCAGAAACGAAGTTCAAAACTCAAGGAGACAATAGAGAGCATCATTGGCAGTATCATTACCAACTTTTGGATCGCCATTTTGAAAAAAATTCAAGTGGTATTTCGAAATAGTTTTGATCTTGTGTGAATGACCAGCTTGACTAGTATCTGTGTCCCAAACACAAAACCGACTGAGAATAGCATGGCGTGCACGAGGCTGAGGCAGGTGAGGGGACAGAAATTGCTCCTTTGTGACTTGGTCAACTTCGGATCACACAGAGCTTTCAAACACCACCTCGCAGAGGTAGGGGTGGGCGCGTAGTTTAAGATGTGGGTTTCAAACACCACATAGGTCAAGCAGTTCTCGCATTGTCATAAATTCAAACTTTGAACTCCCATTTTTCAATTACCTTTTGGGTCTTCTTTCTTCTTTTTGGTCAGGAGTGAATTAAATTGAACACGGGGAAGAGTTCTTTTGTTTTGGGGGAGCGAGTCATTTAAGTTTTAGGGAACTCAAAAGAGTCAAAGTACAGCAAAGATGAATCATATCAGGAAGTGAAAGCGCAATTACCTAATACATAATACTAAAAGCGACTTTTGTACCTTAAGTCCATAAAATGTTAATGAAGGGAATCCTTTCCTTTGCCAAATGAAAACTTAGAGTTTTTCTTTCTCTTGAGACGTGACTTTAGTTTCTTACCCAATACGAGAGAGAGCTTCAATTAAAAAAACTCTTTTCATGAATTGATGTAAGTACCAAAGTCAGTTTATATTGTTTGGAAAACCTATATGATTTGAATTGTTTCAGTGTAAATGGTCAAATTTGATTTAGTAAGATAAGCCAGCAATAGTTGTGGGGAAGTACTAAAAAATCCCTAAACCTATTATATTGGTACCAATTCAGTATTAAACTTTTCAATTGGACTATTTTAGTCTTAAACATTTTCACATTGGTACAAATTCAGTCCATCTGGCCAATTAAGGCCAGAAATCGTTGACGTGAGCGCCGGTTGTCCTACGTGGCACGGTTGGCGCTGACGCTGACATTTTTAATAATATTTTAATAATTTTTTGAATTTTTATAATATTTTGTTCTTTTATTTACTTTTATTTTTTTTATTTTTTTTCTTTCCTTTTTTTTTCCCTTAATTTTGGCCAGCAAGGCCACAATGGCCTTGCCCAGGGCCATCACTCCCTTGCCAGCCACGAGCGGGGCCGCAAGGGCTTGCAGGCCCTCGCCCCCTCATCAGCCAAAATGAAGGAAAAAAATTAAAAAATAAAAGAAAAGAACAAAAAAAACTATAAGAATTCAAAAAAATATAACAATATTATTAAAAAATGTTCACATCAATGCCGGCCATGCCATGTAGAATAGTCGGTATCCACATCAGCGATTTCCAGCTTAAATTGACCAAATGGATCGAATTAACACTAATGTACAAAAATTTAGAGCTAAATTGGTCCAATTGAAATATTCAGAACTGAATTAGAATCAATATAATAAGTTTAGGGATTTTTTTATGCTCTTCCCCATCGTTCCTGCAATCTTGTCCTCCCACATGTACGCCAAAACTTGATGCCGGATTTACGCTTAATTTCGTCCGATCACAATGTTAGGCAAAGCTCATTGAATGCGTGGCATAAAAGTGGATGTGCTATAAATGCGGTGTGGGACTCTGGATTCTTGCCCATGGCATTTCGACATCTGGCACGGCCCGATTGGCCAGAAGGACATGTTCATTGTTTGGTTGATTTTCTACTTAGTCAGGCATTTAGGTCGGAACGAGTGATGTTTTGCATGAATGTTGCTTCTCTTAATTTAAGGAAAGGTGGTGTAGGTTCGGCCATTAGCCTCAATTGCCACGTTTTTCCCTTGGTGGACCGCTGTTTTGTTTCTCCAATCGCTAACGGAGCAAATTTGCTATGACAGTAAATCGTGAACTTGCGTCGTATATAGTAAGTGAAGAATTTTGTTTTCCTTACGACAATGCTTACACGTTTATTAAGAATGGGTAATAAGTAAAGGGGCTTTGTTAGCATAACAAACTTTGGATCGCTATAAGATTAATAGCATGTTGTGAGCCATGTACATATGCCTTCTGTGATTACTAAGTAGATTAATGACTATCACTTAATCATTTCTCTAAGTAGAGTCCAGAGTTGATAAAATATCTACTAGAATAGTAACATGCACATCCTGCCTTTGCGATTACCATATCTTCCAAATTCCTTAACTTGTGAATTCTTATGGTAAACGTAGCACGTGCAAATAGATATGTGATATTAAAACACGGTGTTAACCACTTAGACATGAGCGCGTGCTTGGATGAAGGTAATGATACACGCTTCTACGCATAATGTATGTGCCATTTGTAGTAATAATTTGAGGAAATGATTAAGTAACTGTCCTTAATCTACCGTGAGATTAATAGCCTATTTCGAGTCACAAAAAATAGATAACAAATAATTATAAATTATCGTAGAGTCCACTTCTTAAAGAATTTGCAGTTCGTAGTGACCCAAAGACTGTTATGCTAGCAAAGTCTCAATAATTTCCTTTTGCGAAATGCTAAACTGAGCATCCATATCCAGCAACGAGAGTAATGAAATATGTTCAATAAGAAATGAAATTTGTTCAATAAAACTTGTTTGGAAGGAAAATCATTTTCGCTCTCAATCGACACGACACTTTTTTAGGAATGAAATATGTGGTGTCAAGGGCACCGTAAAAAATTCTATCCAACGGTGCCGTTATGCTAGCACCGTCTTTTCCTTTTTCACCGCCAAAGTACGGTTTCAAGTCCCATTTTTCTTTTCCTACATTCCTTTTCTCCCCCATTTTGACATCACAATTACAATTTCACAGAAAAAAAGAAGAAGATATCCCAATAAAAACCATACGTGCAAAAAGAAGAAATGAATCATTCAACTAATTAGGCCGGTGGTGATCGATGTTGGACTCGTGGGGTTGTGTGGTCATGTTACCCTAAGGGGGAAAGAGAAAGAGAGAGAGAAAAGAAAGAGTCATGTGCTGCAGAGAGAGCGAGCAATAAATAAGGTTTGGAGCACCTATACGCTTTGACAAAGTGCTACTTGACATTTATGAGTTTGGACATCTGATTCTTTTCCTTTAGTAACTGTCACCAAATTGGATGAGAAAAAAAAGGGTGACCCTCGTTTGGAACAATTCGCAAGGAACAAGAAAGTTCTATGCAGTCTCTTGTGGTCTTGCATTAAGTATGAAAACGCAGAAAAAAGGAAGAATTGATTTCTTGAGATTGTGAAGTGAAAGACTTGATGGGGAAGAAAGCCATAGCATTTCTGCCAAGGGAGGGAGTCTACTGATGTTTTCTTCCCCAGGGTGCTCAACCACCACCCACTTTTTCCTCCTTCCCACGGGCCATGTTCAATTAACAAATGGAGTACATTTTTGCTATTGTGTGTGTGTGTCAAGCCTCTCTTTATCACCCAACAGAAGAAGAGAAAGACGATTCATTAGAAGAAATTCTTCATTTATTTATGATTGTCGTTGGCGGCAAAAGGGGACGACTGCCGTACCAAGACAAATGTGCAGTTGCTAGATCAACTTTAAATAGGGTTCAATGGTAAAAACTGTAATTTCAATTGGAATGTCTTCGTTCGGTGTTTAATCTTTATGTTATTCTATCAAATCAACTCGATCACATTTTAAAAAAAATAAGTAAAACCCATGTCATTCTATGATGTATCGTCACCGTCAAGATTATCTATGATAGACCAAGCCTAAGCAATATTTCTTTTGCAATAGACTTTAGTATAAGCAGTGCCAAAATTGAAAGCATGAGAAATTTCGAGAGAAGCATTCCACAAGCATTCACCAAGCAAGACGCCCCATTTTATTTTTGCTATTTGCATGATTTATGGTGGGTCGTTTCCTATGCTAGGGTTGTCATTTCGTCTCGCAACCCACTCCCTTTCTCCCGTCGTTTTCACTCGCATTGAGCATTATTAAGAGGATCAAGAACACCCACAAGACACACCCAAGAGATCAAACCTCACTACTCACACGCCATGAATCATCATCATACCTCCCCACTGTTATCACCTTCGTAGGGACGGCCACACACACACACACACACACACACAAAGTAGACAGTACTCCCTAAGTTCTTCTCTTGTGAGCAATATGGCTTCGATCGCCAAAACCATACCCACACTGGCACACATTGGAACGGCCATGATCGACGTCGTGAGCTTCGTGGTGTTCTCCCTTCTGGATGTCCTCGACGTGGTCCTGTGCTTCGTCTATCGGGTAGCGGACTTCTTCGTCGAGTCGGAGTGGAAGCCGTGCTACTGCTCGTCGCCAAGGGAGGCCATCACCACCAACGGCGGTGGCATTCTGGTCTCCGGGCAAGGAGAGTCCAAGATCGTCCGCATGATGAGCTCGAGCAAGGTCCAGATGGAGGACGTCTCTGACACGCTCTACGTGCGGGCCTCGCGGGTGTCGGAGGTCTCGAACTCCGCTGTCATGAGGCTTAACAGCAACAACAACAGAAACCACGCCGGTCATAATCATAAGAAGAAGATTGGCAGTCCTGGGGCGCGGTCAAGCTTTGTGGTGAATTCCACGGTTGTCGAGATGCTCCACGGAAGGATGGTCGGGCAGAAATCGCAGCCGATTCCGAGGTGGTCGGATTGCGATTGCCAACTTTGCAATTCCTGGTCGTCTTCTAGTAGCAAGACCCTCTACGTCAAATCCGCCGGCGGTAAAGGCAAGTTTTTTTCCTTTAGCTGCGATTTTACATGCCTTAAAATTTACCGATCAAGGGAACGTCATGCGTATAATCCTGGCCAAAAAGAAAAAAAAAATACGACCATAATTTCTTTTTCTCTATAGGGACCACTTTGTGTTACTGATCTTTCACTGGATTTATGACGTGCGCTTATTGCTCGATTTTTCTTTTTTCCAGGGGGCAAGGCACGTGAAGATGTTGTGTTCATCCACGGCTTCATTTCCTCGTCGGCATTCTGGACGGAGACGCTATTCCCGAACTTCTCCGAGGAGGCGAGCTCAATGTACCGGTTCTTCGCGGTCGACCTCCTGGGGTTCGGGAGGAGCCCGAAGCCGGCCGAGTCGCTGTACACGCTCAAGGAGCACGTGGACATGATAGAGAAGTCGGTGTTGGAGCCGCACAAGGTCAAGTCCTTCCACATTGTGGCTCACTCTTTAGGTTGCATTCTGGCCCTCGCGCTCGCGGTCCGGCACCCTAACTCGATCAAGTCCTTAACCCTACTCGCGCCGGTAAGTAATTTGATTCAACCCATTTTCCTATATATGCTCGACTTATGTGAGACTAACTCATCTCGGACATTTTGATCCGGCGAGGGTGCACTAGATTTAGCGTTTCAAATGTCATACATTCATGTTAATTGGACTCGTGCATTGATTTATGACTAGGAGAGTAAGAGCGGTGTGATAAGAAACATACGACATGTATGTTAATGTGATATCGAAGTATATATTTTAGGTGTGAACATGGATCGTGCTATATCGATAATCAATCAATGTTGATCAAAGGTAGTTTAGATCATTTAAACGATTTGACTGACTGAATTTAAGATGCCATCTAATCCAAATCATTGATTGCAAGAGGGTATTCCAATTATTAAGAATCGCAAAACTTACGAAAATTATTAGATAGGCCGAGTGCATGATGCATCTTGAGGCGGCCATCTGAGCCTTTAGATTTTATGAATCTCACGTAGAACTTAAAGGAAGCTAATCTCACTAATAAAACAGGTGGCTCAAGAGTGCATGCACTTGGTCTATTCTTTATCCATTAATGTCTTAAAAATTTGATCTTATGACTTAGTGTTGCCTTCGTATTGTCTTAAACTCATGATACAACAAATTATTATGCCTAAATATGAACCCGTTTCTCCGCGACACAGCCCTATTTTCCGGTGCCGGAGGGAGAAGAAGCGACGCAATATGTGATGAGAAGGGTCGCTCCGAGGCGCGTGTGGCCGTTGATCGCCTTCGGGGCGTCGATGGCTTGCTGGTACGAGCACGTCAGCCGTACGATTTGCCTGCTCATATGCAAGAACCACCGGTTGTGGGAATTTCTCATCAAGCTAATCACCAGAAACAGGTAAACCTTTTGCTCTACCAACTTCCTATTTAAACCAGCTTACTCCACCTCTCTCTCTTTACATTTCCCTCTTCATAGAAAAATAATATGTTTAATTTCCATTCTCAACCTTTCTCCATTTTTCCCTTTAAAGAAATAAATAAAGGGGCTTTTTTAAAAAAAATTTCCTACCGACCTTTTGGAAAGATTGAGGCAATTTTTCTTATCCTTGTTCAGTTCACTGCCAGTGACTTTCGTTATTCTTCCAAGTCAAGTCACTGAACTACCCAATTCTGCCTTATAAATGTTGGGTAGGCTGCGCTTGCCCTTATATTATAGATAGATAGGTGTAGAAAGATGTGCATATGGTTGATGCTTGCTTGACGCTTAAGAGTCTTGCCTACCCTCGATATTCTTTTAGGAGTTAATTTTTTTTAGGGGGATGAGAAATGTTCGGAGTGAATTAGTCAGTACAATTTTCAGTAAATGAAACCAATGATGTGATTCAAGTAAAATTTTGAAGTCTTGAGGAACTAGAGTATATATAAGTCCTTACGAAGTTCAGAAAAATATAGTCGGATATCTTCGCTGTGGTGCAATTGTGACGAAACACCCATTTTCATAATTATATAATCACTATAAAGGTGTACGAAATATCGCTCTAATTAAAATCTAATGAAAAATACGACCTCTTCCGATATGCTTTAACATGGCATCGGAGTAAAAACGTCCAATTTCATTTCTTTTCAACCTCCTTATTTATCTCCTTAATTGTATATACTTTACAGTTCCATAGATGCCAAATCTCAACATAAGCGGGAGAGGAAGTATAACAAACGTTTAAATATCAAATAAAGTTTTTTCCTCTAAGTATTTATGTGTTTGGACCAATTGTGGCACCACAGCTGCTGCCATAAATCCGGTGCCAAAGCAAAGCTTTGGAGGTGTGTCGACCCACGTGGACCCACTTGGTTGGATAGTGGGGGCCCCCCTTTTTTCCCTCAAATGCGGGGCCCCAAAAAAGTAAACATAATAGTCATAGCCCTAATGGAGTGGTGGGTCGTCGTTAAAAGTTGGTGGCCGTGCCTCACCATTAATGTCGTCGACAAGCATGCTAGGGTGGCGGCAACTGGGCAATCGGGAGGGCATCAGAAAGAGGGAGCGCGCTTTGCTTGCAATAATTTTGAGGGTCAATTGAATGATGGAATACGACCCTTTGCCTTGATTCTCATAATTCATTTTTTGTGTTTCGTCGTTAGAAGCCAAAAATCTATGCTTTACGAAGACAACAATGGAGAAGAGTGGGGTCTTTTTCAATTACTATTTTAACAAAGTACGAAGAAGTTGAGCAAAGCAATTCATGATGCTGTCTATTTTGATGGTTCGGTACGTGCAATAACTATGATGTTTCTTTAGGGAAACCCTTGGTTTAAGATTGAGAAAGTACAGTCGAGGTGGAAGATAACAGAGTAAAGTATATGAAAATTAGTTTGGAAGAATGTTAGGAGAGTCGATGAGACAATTTGGAGTGGGTGCTTTATGCAAATACAAGAATTTTCAGATTAGATTCAAGTTCAGTGTGGTTACTTAGCATCAAACCACGGCGGATCAGTTTCTCCTGAATTTCCTAATTATTGGCATTAATTAGGAAATAGGGATTGATCTTGGATTGTCAAAATCGGTCCAGGAAGGTCCAAGAAAGCGAGAAAAAGCAGTTGAAAATTAATTAGGTCAATCTAAAGTAGCCAATCACATCTTGGGAAATGAATTCACAGGACGATGGAGACACGTATCTTTATGCTAATGTCCATTTAGCTTGATTGTACATGATCCTTGGATTAATGAAATGATCCATCGATTAATGAGATGTGTCCCTTCAGGCTTAGGACATACTTGGTCGAAGGCTTCTGCTGCCACACCCACAACGCCGCGTGGCACACCCTCCACAACATCATCTGCGGCACGGCCGGCAAGCTTGACGCCTACCTCGACGCCGTCCGGGACCGCGTCAAGTGCGAGATCAACGTCTTCCACGGCGAGGACGACGAGGTGATCCCGGTGGAGTGCACCCACAACATGAAGAAACGGCTGCGCCGGGCCAACGTGAAGGTGATGAAGCGGGAGGATCACATCACCATAGTCGTCGGGAGGCAGAAGGAGTTCGCGAGGGAGCTGGAGGAGATCTGGAGGAAGTCGAGGGGTTAAGTCGAGGGGCCACGGTCTGGTGTCTCCTGCAGATGAACAAGCAAATGGAAGCATAATTAATAAGTTCAAATCGATTGAGGGAAGAGCAATTTGCAATGCATAGATGGAAAAAAGTCGCCCCAAAGATATCCGAAGGCCTTCACCATCATCATCTAGCTCGTTTTTTCTAGCGGGTCAAGCTTCTAATGGAGCATATATTTACATATATATCATACCATTCCCAAGTATAAATATATATATATATATATATATATATATATATATATATATAATATTATGGGCATGTAGGATGTTAGATGACCATTGTCGTTTTATTACAAGATAAAGTATGATAGAACATCATCATCATGTTCCGCCTGGTTTAAGGAGGCATCCTCTTTTCCATTGTGTTTTCCTTTTCGTGGAGCATTGTATTTGCCGGTTGTGTATGTTGAAGGAATGAAGAAATAATCGCAGTCGTCCTTGCGAATCGACTCTCCATTCCATTTGAAATTGTGATTTTCCTCCACCTCTTTTGCTTTAGGAACACGAATGACTAAACCGCATGCGTTTTGTCTACCCATTTCTAGGGATGTTTTGATTTCCTTTTCAATCCATTCGCTTGCTCCTGAGCCCCGACAAACATCGCGTGGTGTGTCTATCAACACCAATTGTTCAATTGAAGAGCTTTCCGAATGAAAATTTGAGTGTTTTTTTTTTTTCAAGAAAAGAGTGAAAGCTTTAGAGAAAAATCTCTTCACAATGTGTAGTGAAATCGGCCAAGAGGATGAGAAAACGTTTTTCAAGAAGCTAAGAGAATATATTTCTAAGAAAATAATTCTTTTTGATTCTGTGCCCGGAATTGATTCTGAGCATTTTAAGGTGTTTGTTAACGGCCTAAAATTCCATCCCTGGAATAGAAAAAGAACAGAAATGCGTTTGGTAACGCCACAAAATTTCTTTTTATTAATAATATTTTTAAATATTTTAATATTTCTTTTCTTTTTTTTCTTTTCTTTTATTCTTTTCCTCCTTCTTGGCCATAGCCTGCTCGCCGGCTATGACTGGTAAAATATTTTTTTATTAATAATATTTTTATTAAAAGTATTTTTTCTTTTTTTGGGTAATGACCTGGTCGATGGCCATGACCGGTAAAATATTTTTTTTATTAATAATATTTTTTTATTAAAAATATATATTTTTATTTTTTTTGGCCATGGCCTGGTCGCCGGCCATGGCTAGTAAAATATTTTTTTATTAAAATTTTTTTATTAAAAATATATTTTTTCTTTTTTTTGGCCATGGCCTGTAAAATATTTTTTTTATTAATAATTTTTTTATTAAAATATTTTTATTAAAAATATACATTTTTATTTTTTTTCGCCATGGCCTGATCGCTGGCCATGGCCGGTAAAATATTTTTTTTATTAATAATATTTTTATTAAAAATATATATTTTTTCTTTTTTTGCCATGACCTGGTCACCGGCCATGGCAGGTAAAATATTTTTTTATTAATAATATTTTTTATTAAAAATATATTTTTTTCTTTTTTATGGCCATGGCTTGGTCGCCGGCCATGGTCGGTAAAATATTTTTTATTAATAATATTTTTTATTAAAATATTTTATTCTCGTTAGATCCGGCGAGGGCGGTCCTCGGGCCGGACATTAGAAGCTAAATAAAAAATCAAGAAAAGGAAGAAGAAAAAAAAATTGATTCTCAAAATTGTTCCCAGAATCAAGAAGCTACTTTTTTTTTATTCTTGATTTTGCTTCAAACGATTACGTGAACAATTTTTGACAAAATTGTGCCGAAATCAAAAAATTAAACAAACACATTTACGTTCCCAAACCGATTCGGGAACAAAAGAACAGAATCAAACACTGTTTGGCAAGTTGTCGTGCGCAGCCTAAGAGAATATATTTCTAAGATCGTAATATAATTATAGATATTACATCTATTTCGTATTATATTTATATATCATGTAAGAAATAGACTTGACACGCACGATGTGTGATGTGATATATTTACAGAAAAATTCAACTCAAATATCGATGGAGCAATCTAAAAAGAATTTTGACTTTGCCGTTGCAATATAATACACCATAGAAAGTAACTCACTACGCTGCCATCTAATATTACATCGAGTGAATTAAAATATTAGATTAATTACGAAAAAAGATGTATGAGCATATGATCGAGTTGAATCATACAGAATTAGTTTCGGATAAATTCACATTGTAAAATATGGCGCATGGGATGTTTGATAAGGGCACATTGCGATTATATAGAAGGCAAATGATGCTGCTATATTCAATCAATTCTCAAGTTCTATATTTTTTTTTTTTCAAAAGACATTGTTTTTTTTTTGGCCAAATATCATTGTCAATGTTTTCATACAAGTTGAATGTGCAAGAGAAGAGAAATTTTTTTTAAAAAACTTAAAGTCGCAAAAATATTTTGCATAAATCCCATGCGAAGCATGCACGAATGAGGTCGTCACTATGGCAACATGGTAACCCAAAATTCTGTCAGTCGTAATTCTTACAAGACGTGACGTCGTGCGAAAACATAACTTCGCCGCCGCCCAATTCGGCGCACGTACGAGTTGCCCATCATTAAGTTCATCGCCGTGCTTTTGCAATCGGATTTGCTGATTAGGAAATATGTCGTTCGAACATGTTGGTCCCGCATGTCCTCTGTACGTTGATTTTCGCAGGTTGAAATTTAATGCACAGTAATTACCGTTTGCGCACGTAATTAACACTTTTCAACTCTTTTAGGATTCTACAATCCCCTTGTGTTAACTCATAATCTTAGGTCGTTCACGTCCAATAAATGAAGGGTCGATCTCAGGTATTGATCGTCCATTTTTCATTCAAAATGGGTCGTACCATTAGATCCTTGGGAGATCCATCGTAACATAAGAATTGGATTCTCTTTCCACGGCTCGACTCGAGAGACACAGGTGTCCTAATCGCCAATTAATGTGCGAGCCTTTCGCCAAACTTGTACCGTCCACGGCATACCTTTTCTCAAAATTCGTTTTTCGATTTCAATTAAGAGGGGACGGATTCCGTGATGAGTATGGACATGAATTGTATCAATGGGACACAAGGAACAAATATCCTTCGACGAGATTTAATCAATGATGAAGCTCGATGACATAAAAAGCTTTGCCGAAATTTAATCGACGATAAAGTGCAATGACAAAGATACAACTTTGGAATTTAATCGATGACGACAATTTGAAACTACAACTAAGATACGCGCGAGAATTTAATCAACGACGAGATATCTGAAACCAAGACTAAAGTATGAAAATTGAAAGATATTTAAATTGCGGAAAAGTAAGGATACAGATAAATTTGCGAGAATGTTGAGTTCTTTGATTGCTTGATCCCGCGAGGCTTTACAAAGAGCAGATGTGACTAAGCTTACAATCGATGGTTACAAACAGTAGTTATAACTTTGGAATTCAAATAAACAAATAACTTCCTAATGGCAGTTACAAGAAGCTACCTTATCCACTAACTCTTATTATTTAGAAGACTAATCCACAAGAAGTTATTAAAAAACTCTACTAGCTGCATTAAAAAAAATACAGAACAAAGAAGAATGCTCAAAAGCTATAGACTTGATTTGTTCATTTCCATCTAACCTCATTACTTCTCTAGATTAAATATATATCCATCCAATCTTAGATGACCGTTGCCAACTCAAAACCTTGTTGGTTCTACCATCATCAGCGTTAGAACAACTCTTTGACGCTCACCCGCGTTAGAGCGGTTTTTTAACAGTGGCAATTTTCTCAAACTAGTCAGACTATTCATGTCAGAGTCTGTCTTCTGCTCAGTATATTCAGAGCTGCTCTAATTCATCTCCAATGCTCTTGATATGAATTCCAAGTCTTTGTAATTGCTATTTTCATCTTGATCAATATTCCAATTGGATGAGCAAATGATTGGCACCTTCCATGACTTGATATCGGCATCTACATAATGAGGATTGCCGATTCTCATCAGTCTGTTGATGATGTCCACTGACGAACTCATGTGGAATGATATGCAATTAATCTTCCAATGATCCTCTTGGCTTCGTTAGCTTTCAAAAACTTCCGAGGATATTACGTCACCGATTCTTCATCTTCACTAATTGACCGAGTCAGCATCTAAAGACCTCTAAAGACATTGGCATCACTGTTGATTCCTCGTCTTCACTAGACTCATTGGATCATAGGCAGTGTCACTATCTTTCCACCTCATCTGAAAAGAACATCTCTAGCCAACAATCTGCTGTCCCGATAACGATCCACTGCTCTTCTCTGATCCTTTCAAGCATATTGACGATTGTAACTCTACCAAGCTATTCACCTTCATGGTTCTTTCAAGCTCTACTGAACATCCCCATTCTAGACTTGTTCACCGGTGCGATCCTTCCAAGTTACAACGAACATCACAGTTTTAGATATCCTCATTAACATCCTCATTACCTTTACCAAGGTTTATCCAACCGTTTACCTTATCTTGGTCATTCCAAGCCATCATTAACATCCTCATTCTTCTTGGCATGTTCTCCCTCGATCAAGGTCCTTCCATCTTGTTCACTCTTGTAGATATCCTTCCAGCTTGTAGACCTCTCGACACCAAATGCCTTGTTCACCTTAAATATTAGCAATGATCCTTCCATATCGGCAAAGTATTTCTGATAGTGACAGAGCACTCGGGATCACACCTGATACTAATTATGACACCATATGCATTATAGCTTGTGTATATATCACATACTACTATTTAACCAATATACACATTAGTAGCCTTTGATTGTCTTTGTCATCGTCAAAACAACATAGGGTATTTTCCTTATAGATGATTCCTTGTTCTCGGCATTGGATTTCCTTAGATCGAATCACAAGTTGTCCCATTGGGTGTACCAAAAAGATACTTCACCGAAATTGTATCGTCGACCAAATGCCTTTCATCGAAATTCGTTCTTCAGTTTTATTAAGAGGAGACGGATTTTGTGGTGAGTCCAAACAGGAGTTGTATCAATGGAACATGAGGAATAAATACGCTTCAACGGAATTTAATCATTGATGAAGCCCGATGACATAAATAACTTTGCGGAAATTTAATTGTTAACAAAGTGCGATGACAAAGATATATTGTCAGAATTTAATTGACAACGAAGATCCGAAAACTACAACTAAGACACGCGCCGAAATTTCATCGATGATGAAATATCTGAAATTACGACTAAAGTACGATAATTGAAAGATACTTAAATTGAGGAAAAGTAAAGATAAAGATAAATTTGCGAGAACTTTGAGTTCTTTGATTGCTTGACCCGAGGGGCTTTACAAAGAGTACGATGTGGCTATTTAAAACCTACAATCGGCGATTACAAATGATGGTTACAATTTTGAAATTCAAATAAACAAATAACTTCCTAATGGCGGTTACAAGAAGTTACCTTATTCACTAACTCATATTATCTAGAACACTCATCCAAAAGAAGTTATAAATAA